TTTCTTTTTTCCTTCCTTCTGGTAGTAAATTGTAAACTAAGTAATACTGATGCTGTGCATGTGGCATGGGGGCTCTGCTTCGTGACATGTCCGGTGAGTGCTGGAAGTGTTAGAGACGGGCCCTCACCAAAATGCCCAGATCTGGAGATCAAGCTTTGAAGTGTTTGAAATCCAGACCTTGCAGTTTGAGCTTTCTCTAACAGCTACTTCAAATCTTAGACGCCGATTCCTGTTTTGATTGAAATAAAAGAGACACATTTATCAAGCCCTTCAAATCACTAACATTAACCCTTTCCTTGGGTTTTCGCCATACACACTGACCGTACTCCTTTAATAAGGCTCCAACATTCCCACCACTCTCGGGTCACCCTGCACCTCCATTCCCCATCACTTTGCCTTTCCAAACACTGGCACAAACTCTTCTTCTGTAGCTAGACATCCCCAGCTGATCAATAATAACCTAAATTCAGAAACCACAGGGCCTGAGAGCATAGGTGCTCTGGCTTAAAGCTGTTACACTCTCACTTGCAATCTGCTTAAGAAATTTGGAGGGAGAGGGGGAAAAAAACCTCCCCCAGCATACTGTAAAAGCATGAGCAGCAACCTCTCTGAGGTCATATGGGGGAGAGCGTTTGTAGGTTTGTTCACATACAGATCTGGCCCTTTAAAACCCCTCCAATCCTGCAAAAAACAAAACATAACAAAACCAAAAGACATCATGTAGGAGAAGAGGAATTTTAAAGGGCCAGGACACTTATAAACACTGACTCATATTCGCCACCGGCGCATGTTGCTCAACCTAATTGAGGTCAACGGCATTGCATCTGCTTATGGCATACTGGTCAATCGGACCCTCAGGGAAGCTGCCCCCCTCAGATCTAACTTCATGAGGAGTAAATCTATTTCAGCACAAAGGAAATGGGAGTTATATATTTTTGCTCACTGTGCTATATACGTTATGACAATTCTTTTAGTACTCAAATGCCAAAGGGTACAGTTAGTTAAAAGGGGCTGATAAACATGTTTCTGATACATACTGATCGATTCCACAGGTACTGAAGCTGCAGAACTGTTTTTCATTTTTTTTTTAAAAAAAAGGCAAGACAATTGATTCTTTACTTAAACGAGTTTCCTTTCCTGATTCCTTTCCACTTTCAAAGAAAAGTGAAATTGTCACCTTTGATTCAACACCGTGTATAAAAATACTTTACAAATAAACTCCTTAAAAACACATGCCTGTGAAATGGCTGGCCTGGATGTTTAGAGTTGTGGATTGGGTTTTCTTCAGCATCGCCATACAGATGTTTCAATGCCACCAGGTTGCTTGACCACTTGCACTGAGGTAGGTCACCAGCAACATGCACCGATTGACCACACTACATTCTAAGGGCTTCGGACATGAGGTCTACAACAGATACCACCAACAATAGCCTAAAGATAAGCTGCCAGGAGGAATTTCTCCATGCCTGTTGTCACAATGCCATGTTAAGAGCACGGTGATCCTGTCACCATACATGCTGGTGCTGTATAAACTGGTATGACCAATTTTGGAGTGGGTGGGGACACTGACAACTAGTTCTGTGGCACTGTGCAAACTGCGGTTGTGGACACTTAGGCCTGCTCTACACTGTGGGGGAGGGGAGGATCGATCTAAGTTACACAACTTCAGCTACGTGAATAACATAGTTGAAGTCGACGTACTTAGATCTACTTACCTGGTGGAGTACCGGAATTGACGGGAGAGCGCTCGGCGGTCGATTTATCGCGTCTAGACTAGATGCGATAAATCGACCCCCGCTGGATCAATCGCTGCCCGTCGATCCAGCTGGTAATGTAGACAAGCCCTTAGAACTGTCTCTTTTTCCCACCTTTCCAAATTGAAATCGGTCTTTACCATTCAAAACGGCATGTGGCTAAGCAAACGGAATCTTTAATGGCCTGGAGTGCTGACATCTTCTATTTCATAATAAAGGGTAATTAATGTAGAATTTGATACTTTAAGGCAATCTTAAAAAAAAAAAAAAAAAGAGTGAAATAAGTGGGTCCCTGCATTGCTGTCTCTGGGCCAGATTCTGGCCTCACTTCCATCTTATGAAACTCTAATGGAGCTCCAGTGGCTGGAAAGCTGCTCAAAACACAGCCCAGTGCAGTCTTTTGAGCTGCTTGAGAGACAACCATAATTGTCCCCAGTTGCTCTCTTGGTTCTTTAATGCCTTGATGAAAGAGTATTAATTTCCTAACCTCCTATTAAAAAGCCGCTGCACATCCAAGTGATACATCCATCCCTGCTGGAGGCTCTCTTTATGACCATTCCCTGAAGCCTTTTTTAATACTCCATGCAGCGTGGATGCACCCAGCAACTGCCTTTGAACAGTGCGGGCCTTCCCTTTCCTAGTGAAAAGAAGCAGTTTTTAAAAGGCTTCTTGCTTTACGAGTGGCGCATCAGACAAGGGCAAAGAGGTTTTTCGTGATAAAGCAAAGTGTGTTTCCAGACTACGCTCACTTGCTGTTGGGCAGCAACTCAAGTATATATTAACATGTGCACCCAGTCACAGGTCTCTTACTCCTGGGATCTCATCAGCTGAACAGCAGAGAATGTGATGACCATCTAACAGTGAAAGAGTGTAGGCGGAATGGTGAGGTGCAGGCAATGAGGTGCATGCGCCAGACTGTACTCTCCGTTAGCTGAGTGCATCCCCACTAATGATAATGAGCCAATTCAGCCTCAGCGCAAGTGAGGACAACTGAGTTGAAGTCAATGGTGCCAAGTCTGGCTTTGACCCATTGGGATTGAACTAGCATAGTTCAGGGCAGAATCAGATATTTAGGGCTTGTCTACACTGACCAGGGGATCGACAAGTGGCGATCGATGCATCGGCGGTCGATTTAGCTGGTCTAGTGAAGACCCGCTAAATCGACCGCCCATCGCTTTCCCGTCGACTCCTGTACTCCACCAGATCGAGAAGAGTAGGGGGAGTCGACGGGAGAATGTCTCCCGTCGACATCGCGTAGTGTGGACCCCACAGTCAATAGATATAAGCTAGGTTGATTTGAGTTACGCTGTTCACGTAACTCAAATTGCGTAGCTTAGATCAAATTTCCCCTGTAGGGTAAACAAGGCCTTAGTCACTTGTTTAGGCCTTCAGAATATGGCCTTTCTCAGACACAGCTCTCACTGAAGCTAATGGGAGTTTGACTGACTAAAGACTGAGTAAAGGATCTCAGGTTTTGTCCTCTCTGCTTTAAATATATATACACATGTTGCCTCTTACTGTATTTTTTCCATTTTCTTTTCCTATAGTAATAAAAAATTTCCCCCTTTCCTTTCAAAACAACCAATGTTCTTCCCAGTGAGGTGTTAATGAAATAGTCTGGTGGCCCTCCACCACACCAGGCACTCTTTCCACTCAGAAAGGTGGCATATTAGGCAGCTCATCCAGCTGTACCTTTGAACATTCTGATGTGCTTTTTAATACTAAGTATTCAGAAGTCTCAAGTTTTAGCGGGTTTTTCTTTTAAAAGTAAGATGTAATACACTATGGCTGAAAAGAAATAAAGCTAATGAAGAAAATGCATCTTTTAGAAATATGTATTTAGCCAAAAAAAGGGGGGGGGGAAGGGACCAGAATATGCTTTTCTTTCAAAAAGCACTTCCCTGAGGCATTTAACACATGACAGAGGATGTGTCAGTGACAATCAGGCACCTCCTTGGATGCGTGAGGAATGAGGTTGAAAGGCCAAGTGCCTCCAGTATCCAACAAGTGCCATTATCTCAGCTGGGAGTGTGTTATTCCATGTAGCCAATGGTAGAGCCTGAGGGTTCTGAGTAAAGATGGGAACGTGCATAAGGGTAGGAGCTGTAGTTCTAACCTATCTGGCTGATGTCCCATAATCTGTCAGACTGGAACTCTGATTAGACAAACTGGTTATTCCCTGGGGACTGATCCTGCCTGGAGCTGAGCACTCTGATCCTGATTCAGCAAAACACGCATGCTTAGTTCTTGACTAAGCATTGACGTAGTTGGATCAAAACCAGACTGCTTACTTTCTTGTAGGATCAAGCCCACAATCCTTAGAAAATGGGGGGGTTCACTGGTTTGAAGGAGCAATTGGGAACAGCTCACCTGTACTCCAGGGTCCAGTTTGGCCCTAATGTGGCAGGTGAAGACTCTCTTTAGGTTACTGGTGGTGGTAAACCGGCTACAACAGTCATTAAAGGAGAACAATCATATAAAACTCCAACACACAAAACCGAACACAAGCACTACGACTTGGCTAAATATAAAGCTTTTAACACTAACGAAATGTCACCACAATCGGGATTTAACGCAAACACACTGCCCTTTCGTTTGTCTTTGAACAGGTTTCATTGGAGCAGAGCAGAACAGTCAGATGAAAGAGGAGCAGGTCTGACGACACAAACGAATGAACTTCTATATAAAACTTGAGGTAGAACATTGCTTTCAAGGTTTGGAAGTGCTTTACATCAGAATGACGACGACATAAAAAAAGGACAACACCATGGCAGATATGGAGCATGACTTCTGAGGTAGTACCAAGCTTATGCAGACCAACTTGTTTTGAAAACAAAGGAAGACACAGATATTTGCTACTTCCCCGAAGACATTCATTCCGGTTGAGGTAGGTTCTGAGTCTACTCGGGATGTTTGTCCAAGTCTTTCAGTAGCCCTCATGCAGGCCTCATTTTTTTTTCTTATTTATATTCAATCATTAAAAAAGCATCCTGAGAAATAGAGAAAGTGTACAAAACCATCAAATCCATGGAGAGGTGGCCTTTCCCGGCCTGAATTTTTGGAGTCAAGTTAGAAGGATTCATCTTAATCCAGTCATCGTGAAATAAAAAGTAGATCACAAAGTAGTCCTAAAGCCACTAATGGGGAACATGGGCTGCGATGCCAAGGGAACAAGGCTCCGCCATATTCCATCATTGATGGAGACTGGAGAATTGGTAAAGTCTGTTACCTAGCAGCCATGGGAAAAACAATTATGACCAGTCTTGATAATGCAATTGTAGGAAGAAATGCACAGAGAGGCCTGAGACAGGTCAGGAAGATAAACTTCATAGAGCTTCAAAAAAGCTGTATATCAATATAAAAGAAATAATAAAGCAAAAACAAAAACAAAAATCAGACTGTAGAAATCTTAAATTGACCTGAGATTGACAAATCATTGTAAAGACATCACCAGACATGGAAATGGTTCTTGGTGAGTCCTACAAGAGGCTTAAAGACTTGGCAATTATCCTTCATTGGTGGGACTATGTTTCAAAGCTGGGACTTCCTGGCTAAAGTTGTGTAGCGGTCCACCCTGATCATCAGGAGCCAGACTTTTGGCTTGGGGATCAAGCTGTTCTTCTATAATGCTGAATTCATCCAATGGAAGTGTAGATATCTGAGTCTCATCGTGTGAGTCAGGTGGAACGTGATCTGGCTGAGAGGAGAAAAAACATGCCATTACAAAGACAATAATTGTTGCATTTGGCTATCACTACCAAGATGCTGGGCTTCTTAGAAATGACATGGTTCATCCAGGAACGAATATGCACATCTTACATAGATGCCCTTACCATCTACAGTTTAAATTCTACCCCATGTGCCAGGAATAAGGACTGTTTGTGGCGACCACTATAAAGTTGTACATTCGTAACCAACCCCCTTTGGGCTGACAATGGGGTTCAAACTTGAGACTGTCAGCACTAAACGCAGGAGCCTCTGTCACTTGTGATAAAATAATAATTCCTCTAGCTAGCAGCTGCAGTAGACTCTTAACCTCTTATATGAACTAGCCACTACTGGGGAACAAAGACGCTCCCAGTGTGGAATGGATTAAACATTAGTGCTTAGCGGATCTATATTTTCAATGGATGGAAGGGAATTAAGCGTATATCTCTCCCCAAACATCAAGGGAAGAGGAGTGTGTTTGAAAGGAGAGATTGTCTGTAAATCCCACGATTAATGTCAAGGCAGGACCCTTACCATTATTCCCTTATCCTGTTGATCCTGGGAAGGCAATGCTAGAAACAACCTTTCCAGCTCGTTCATCTCCAGTTGCTTCCCATTCATGTCCAGGTCGTCCCTGTCCCTCCGAGCAGCTCCGTTCAGAACCAGGCCTGTGGCATTCCTCTGACTCCTCGGGATCTGGGGGGTTGACAGCTGTTCCTGGACGTTTTTACACATCAGCAGTCTGGAAAACCGAGGGGGGAGGAAACTGAAAGTGCAGCACTTCCCAGCATTGCATGCAGCCCCTTTATGTGGGCCTGGGCACACCTCGCCGTTCACATCTTACAGCCAATTCTCTGCTCATACACAGCCTCCCAAAACAGGAGCTAGACTCAGAGACAAGCCAGCCAACAGAGTCACAGCTCTAGTCTTTGTCTCCACCTCTCCTTCCCCGGACACCCGAAACCTCCTCCACACTTATCGGTGCGCCATGTTCTCTCACTCCTCCTTATAACCCATTTCTCTGACACAGCTTTCAAAGCAGATCTCCCTGCAGATGTGTCCACCCTGTGTGCCACCTCAGCTGTTGCCCCAGGTAGGGTATTTAGTGCAACTGTCTTTTAATACGTTTTGTAGGGGCGAGGTGCTGGCTTGACATCAAAGGCCTCTTGCTGGATGTGGCCGCACAGCTCTGCTTACGATCAAGTGAGTGCCCGCAACTCCTGTGCACTTCAGGTCTAATCCAAGACCCTTTGGAGCCAATAGAAAGACTCCCATTGACTTAACTGGTCTTTGATCAGAGCCTAGGCAAGCGATTACTGTACCAGCGACAGGGATGTTATACAATCCCATGTGGAGGGGCACAATCACCAATGGAAGGAGAAGTGGACCCTGCAATCACAAGTGGGACCATGGCCTGGCCGGTGGACTCACAAACGGGAGGTGGTCCATGAGACATTCGTGCTACTGCAATGCGGTTGAGTCTGAGAACACTTCAAACAGCTTGAGAACCACCGGGGCAAAGCAAACGGCACAATACAAGTAGATAGTGTATTAGCGTCACTCGGCCCGTGTGGGGAGAGAACCGTACCTTCCTCTGTACCCAAACATGAGGAACAGGACACAGAATATAATGCACGTGACTCCAATGTGGATCCCAATGATGATCCCCGTGGTGGAGGTCTTATTATTTTGCTCATCTTTCATGCAGTCACATGGGGGATTCAACACTGTGAGGAGAAGCAGTGAAAAGGGAGTTAGTCCCTGGGGTTTTAGCCGCCTAGTGCTTCCGATCCTAGACACATGAGCACCGCAGCATGAGCTGGGGTGGGAAGCCCAGCATCAGGCCATGTTCTTGAGTAGCTCAGAGGCTAACAGTTGTAGAAGGAAGGAGGAGACATCTCCCCAACTTTCAGCCTGGAGGTTTAAGCCCCCATTGGGGGAGGGGAGGGCAGAGCACTCAGCGTTCCCACCCCACTCTCTGCCAGTCAGCGGAGAAGGGGCCTGGTAGGGCAGGGAGGAGGCAGCTGCCGTCACAGCCTCCTGTGACGAGGGGGCTGGCTCTGTCTCCCCTGCTATCAGGACCTGGCACAGCTCCCTCCCCATGGCCCCCAGGCTGAGAAGGCAGAGCAGGGGGAGCCCAGCTGGGGACGGTGGGGGGCTGAGCCAGCTCCAGCGAAGAGACTGATCCCAGTCCAGCAGCAGCTCCTCCTTGCCCCCTCCCCCGCCCCGAAGGAGGTTCAGATATGGGAGAGGGTGGGGAAAACAGATGTGGAAGGTGCTTCAGGGGAAGAAGCTGTAGAAGCAGTGGCCTGGAGGGGAGGACAAAGGTTGGGTGGGAGAGGGGAGGGCTGAGGAGTGTTGGGGGAAGGGAAGGCTTGGGTGGGGGTGTTGGAGGGGAGGAGGGGGGTGTTTGGTGGGTGGGGTGTTTGAGGCAGGGGAAGGGGGTGTTTGAGGGAGGGGAAGGGTGGGGGGTGTTTGAGGCAGGGGAAGGGGGTGTTTGAGGGAGGGGAAGGGTAGGGGGTGTTTGTTAGGAGGTGGGAGGAGCAGAGGAGAGTTTGGGAGAGGGGAGGGAGTTGTGGAGGAGGGATGCGTGGGGGAGAGGGAGGTTTGCAAGGGGCAGGGAGGGAGGGAATGTTTGGGGGGCAGGAGGGGCCTCACTGTACTATGAGGGGGTGCCTCCCCACAGCTTTGCTGGCAAAGCGACTCCCTTGCTCTCCTTAACGTCCCGTTATGGCAGTGGCCACAGTGGGGGAGCCCTGCTGGCTGCCCTCAGAGCTGGATTCCAGGCTGTGACCAGCAGGACCCTGCCGGTGCAAGCTCTTTGCCCTGGACCCGGCTCACCACAGCCCGTCTGGTGGCTCTTTAGGACTTGGCATAAGATGTGCTCGTTCACCGTGGGGCTCTCTTCTGTTGGGCCCGTAGCCAAAAGGTATTTATCCAGCGCCGGGTGAGGGGCGTGGAGGCAGGGGTGTGGCTCATCTGTGCCAGCTGTTGCTGACAGTCTTTCATGGTAACGTCCCCAGATCAATCAACCGATATCCACGGTAACAGCCAGGGCTAGCACTGGCCAAAGCTTTGGACACTGTTATTTAATGAACGAAATGGGATCAGGCTGCCAAGCGTAACATTTGTTTTATTCAGACTGCAGGTCGATGGCTGCAGCAGGCTGCCAGCTGAACACTCTTACAGACGGACGTTATCCCCTCTCCGTGATCTGTACCTAGAACTGCCATTGGAATAACATCCGAGGGTACTGTCTGAGCTGATGTAACTACAGGCTAAAGCTAGCTGAGGAAAACACAACAGCTCTGCAACAGCTTTCCATGACAGCGAAGCGCTCTCCCCAAATACACCCGCTGTATTGCAGCTAGCTATTTACAGGCCCGTGTCTCCCCCTTTCCCTTTGTGCTGGAGGGGCTAGCAGGGACTTTCAACTGAACTAATTCCTAAGATTTTGCTGCAATCCGGCAGTTCTGCTACACGGTAACAAAAGCTTTCAGCCTAGTCTCCTGAGACAAGCAATTTCCTTTAAAAGTCGAGCCTGCATCTCTGATCTCTAATGCTGTGTTCAGATGAAAAGCGAAAGGATAACATACAATTATTTTGCCTTCCTGCCTGGGGATCTGTAAACTTTGCATTTTCTCTGTGTCAGAGGTATGATGTGAATTACACTGGAGGAAAAAGAAAAGGAGGACTTGTGGCACCTTAGAGACTAACCAATTTATTTGAGCATAAGCTTTCATGAGCTACAGCTCACTTCATCGGATGCATACAGCCAGAGCAGTTTATAATATCTTATTCAGTGATATCCCTCAAAACAAAGGCTAAGTATTAGAATGGAGCTGATGGACTTATCTGTACTTCCAGCAGAGATTCATGTTTACTACGTTAATGGTACAGTATGAATAACAATCTCTGTTTTGAAGATATTGCCATTGGAAATCTGGTTAAAATGACTCCCAAAGCACCAGGGTATTTTTCAACACATACAAGAACACAAAAGGTGTGAACAATTAAAGATTCCCCTGAGAGGTGAATCCTCTTGCCTCCAGGTAACTACAGCACTGATACACTCAGTCTCTTTCTCTCTTCCTACCTAACACGGATGCCCTCCAAAGAACTAGGTTAAAATTATTTGAAGCCTGATTTTCAGAGGTGCTCTTGCCCACCACTCCAACTGAAATCAATGGAAGCTGCAAATAGCGCCTCTGGACACTGGGCCCAGAGAGGAGTCTAGTCTAGGTGCGGAAGAGCCAGGAGACTAGAATCATGGCAGCAAACGCATCCTTAACTCATCACTGCAGCTCACAAAGCAAAGGCAAACCCACCAGCTGTTCTGAGACCAATTCCCTGCAGTGGGAACAGAATCCTAGTAAGTAGTGAGAGATGGCAAAACCATGTTAGACCAGGGAGGAATCTGCTTCCAAAGCCAAGACAGCCTCCAATGTGAAAATGATAATACAGCTGATCATAACCAAAACTCTATTCACGTCCATTCCTGTGCACCAGCAAGAGGAGCAAAGGACGGGTCAAATCTGGACTTCAGTTCAGGACCAGATTTGTAAAGGGATTTAGGCATTTCTTCACTCAGCACTGGAAGGACTAGGCAATTTAGACAGTGATTTTGACTTCGGATGAGACGTAGGCTCCTAAATCACTTTTGAAAATGGGACTTAGCATCTAAGTCACTCAGGTCTTGCAGCGCTAAGTAGAACAATGTCTAAATACCTTTACAAATTGGAGCCTCCATTCTTCTGTCAGTTTCAGACAGGCTCTTCTTCATTTTCTTGTTTACAGGAATTTCCTTGTTTGTTTGTTTGGTTTGTTAACAGAGAGAGACTGTCACAGACAAAAGTGTCCCAGATTGTTAACAACCAACCAACCACTCCAGAAACAATGATTCTTTATCTGCTATTATCACCCACTGCAATAAGTTTGTGGAGATGTAGAAAAGCAGGACAACAATGGACTCCTTAAACTACTATAATCAACACAATCTCATCTAATCTGTCTAATAGCCCAACACACTGGTGTCTACACCCAGTTCTGGTTCAGTCCGAGCACTAAAACCTGACTTGCTCCCCTGAGTACAGTGAAGAGACTGCAAACTTACCTAAATGTAACTAAGGATAGAATTTGGCTCTGAGTCTATTAAGAGCCAGATTCTGACCTCGGATATATGTTCTGGGTTCCCACTGAAGTCAGCTGAAACTGCAAATATACAGAATGAACTCCCAGGATTTAACCCTAAGACTTCTAATGCAATATTGGTGATAAAAACATATGGCCTTTGGGGAAGGGACCATCTTTTGATTCTGTGTTTGTACAGCACCTATCACAACGGGATCCTGGTCCATAAGAGGGGCTCTTAGGTGTTGCAATAATACAAATCATAGAATATCAGGGTTGGAAGGGGCCTCAGGAAGTCATCAAGTCCAACCCCCTACTCAAAACAGGACCAATCCCCAATTTTTGCCCCAGATCCCTAAAAGGCCCCTCAAGGATTGAACTCACAACCCTGGGTTTAGCAGGCCAGTGCTCAAACCACCGAGCTATCCCTCCCCCCCCACTTAAATAAATAACAACATGCTGTCCGTGCAAAGCTGTTGCTTGTGAAAGAGCGAGAGCTAGCTGTGTGTACTCTCTAGCCTGTCCACCAAACAGCATTCCACATTCTCCATGTGGGGCCCGTACAACCTGAATTTAGAAGACAAACAGCGCTATTTAGTTACAGGCGTGCCGGAAAGTGTGCACATTTTGCTTTGTTTTCTGTAATTAGAGATTAGATGGAATTGAGCCGCCAGATCCAGAACGTTTTCCTTCCTAGCAACACCAATGATCGATAATTGGTGGTTTGGAGTGTGCTACAGAGTGGGCAGTTCATGCCCATATTATTTCCAGTTGCTTCCTTTAGAGAGAAAGAAGGGGTGATGAATATGTATAAAGATTAAGCAACTGGAATTAACCATATTAGCCACCAGAAGGCACTGCTTCTCCATGCAACCTAGCTTCAAATTTATTTGCTGGGAAGAAAATAAAGTGCTTCTTAAAGGTGACGGTTCAGAAGTAGCAACACACAGTGTTGGATGCACTATTAAATTACCTGCGTGTTAGTAAGACCTTCCCTGTCTCTGGCTAGATCACTCCTATCCTGTGACGGTTCACATCACGTACACAAGTTGGCCTGCTTTGGCCTCTTACCTGTTTTTTCAACTGTTTCTCGAAGGGATACAAAGCGGACAGTAGAATTTCCATCCCCGTGCTGGTTATATGCCAGGAGTTTTACTTCATATACCACTGATGGGTCTATTTTAGAAAAGACACGAGGAGGGCATTTCAGGTTAAAGAGCTTCAGTACACTAATCTTGCTGAGCCTGCACTTGTCACGAAAACAGAGACATTTTACACGCATTGCAAAAGCCAGTCACTGTAAGTATAAGGACCCGAACCTGCTCTCATTTAAATCAGTGGGGCAGGCTGAGGGCCTAAGGGAGGAGTGGAAAACAAACCTTGCTAGGCACTCATGATATATGTTCCCTAGCTGTCGTATATTACTCTAGACATTCCGCTATAATGACAACAACATAAAGGGGAATTTTCTTGCTCAGCAAAGGCACGTAATGCGGATAAAGCCCTCCTCAGTACTTACCCAAGTGAGTAATGTTATAAGATGTAACGTTGCTGGGCAGGAGCATAGGGCCAGTAAAGTGGGCTAGGTGAACTTTACGGTAGTACAGTTTGAACCCTTCCTGCTGGCCCAGTTTGACGGAGGGTTCCCACACCGCTTGGATGGTGGTGCTGTTAAGAACTTTAATAAAGAGGGACGGCATTGCTGGGACTGAAACAGAGAGAGAGGGAGAGAGGTTTTTAATGACTTGGGTCATGCTTGTGCCTGTCGTAGCCTAAACATAATTGGCTGTGCACAGAAAAATAATGAAATCCCTGCTAGTATTTCATGTTAGCTGTTGAGTCAGGGGATGTGATAGAAAGATTCATTTGATCGAGAAGATTAGCTTAGGTTAGATCCTGCTTTTATAGTCCTGAATTCCTTCAAGAAGTTGTGTGAGTTTCAAACCGTTTCCTGTTCTCAGCATGGCAGTTCAACAAGCTAGGAGGCTACTTTGTAGAGTCTGTCTGCAATTTGATTCTCGGCCCCATCGGGTCAGGTCAGGAATGCAGGAGCATCGGAAGTGCATTTCCAGATTCCCCTCTCCTTCCCCGAGGGCAATGGTAGCTTTTTAGAGTGATTAATCCCTGAGGGAGGGAGAAACCAGAAGGATGGAGTTAGAGACATCAGTCTTAAAGCAGGTTTCAGAGAAGCAGCCGTGTTAGTCTGTATCCGTAAAAAGAAAAGAAGTACTTGTGGCACCTTAGAGACTAACAAATTTATTAGAGCATAAGCATCCGATGAAGTGAGCTGTAGCTCACGAAAGCTTATGCTCTAATAAATTTGTTAGTCTCTAAGGTGCCACAAGTCCTCCTTTCCTTTTTAGTCTTAAAGCAATACGTGAAATATGCTGCAACCGGCTGAGCTCTCAGGCTTCCTGCACTGACTTGCAGTTGCTGTTCCAGCAGCGATTGCTAGTCTGGGCTCGGCTCTGCAGTGTGTTTCAGGGGCCATTACACAGAGAGGTTAATAAAGAAGGGAAAGAATCAGGGATCAGAGTGAAATCAAGGCAGTAAGTTTCTCTATGTTGCTGCTACCTTGCAACCAGTTTCATCATAATCTTTTTGTAAAGGGATGTACTTACCAGATCTCAAGGATGCGTAAGGTTGGGGGCGGGGGAGATGCAGGACTCCCCTTTCTTACTTTGTTATCCCCACTTACCCATAATGCTGATGCCTACGCCCCCACCCAGGGCCTGATCCAAAGCCCAATGAAGTCAATAGGAGTCTTTCCATTGACATCAACAGATTTTGGGCTCAGACCCCTTGAGACAAGGGGAGGAGCTGCTAGTGTCAGGAGACATGGGGATGTAGCTAGTTGGAGTGGGGCTGTCCTCCAATGTATGCACTGGGCACCACTGCATGGCTGGCCCTGACAGGGTGTAGCAAGGGCTGCTGATGAGCATGGTCCATCCAGCGCCCCTGGGGGTATTGCATCTCTTCCTGTTTTACACAGGCCACGTGTAGATTTATGTCACAGAGGTAAAGAAAGATTTAAAGTCCAAACACTGAGCAGGCTTAGTGCTAGCTATATGCCCCCCCCCCCCCCCAGGTCCCATTCCCAAAGTTCTTCCCGGCGTCTGGAGTGGTGAATTGCACAGAGAGTTTTCCCATATTTGCTTCTTCCTTGCACATATCCAAGGTAGTGTTTTAACACAAAGATAACCAGAGCGAAACCATGTACCAAGAGTGAGCCAACCACACCTAGCTGGACGGCCTGAGAAGCTCCCCAGTGATTTGTGGGTCTGCAAACCCAGTTCAAGTTGCCCTGTAATTTAAACATGGGGTTTTTTCACAGCTGATTCAGTTCAAAAAACAAGGTGGCGATGGAAACCTCAGGCTGCGTTTTAGGGATAGAAAACGTAGGCTCACATGGGTGCCTGCCCAACACATAATACGAGAGACAGTTTGGACTGAGGTTTTTGGCAGAATTTTTTCCCCTTCCTCTCTGTGCTCCTTTTCTTCCCACACCTCGTGTACAACATTCTTTAGGCGTCCCAGTTGTTGTTCAGTCATTAACACTTTTGCTGACTACCACAAAACTCTATAGAGCAAATGCTCTAATCAGTGTCTGGCCCTTTTGCACCATTCACTAAGTGCAAACTGACCACAACTGGCCCACAGAGAATTTCCTTGTCAAAGAGGTGTATCCCTGCTGGTACCAATGTGCCAGCTCTGGGCTCCTAACACCTGGTGTAGAAGGCATGGCAGGGGAGGGAGGAGGTGTTTTGAGGTCAGGCAGGAGGAGTGACAGAGATCTGCCACACCATGGCAATCCTGGATGGTTTTAGGGTCCCTTAAGGACTCTAAACCAGTTGTGTAGCTTGAAGTCACTTGGCCGGGGCTTGCTCCAAGAATCAAAGAGCTGGATCTAGCTCCTTATTGCCCCTGCCCTTGGTGCAGGAGAGAATCTAGCCCTATAACAATTTGGGAATAAATCTGATCTCAGTTAACCCTGGTCAACAGGAACACTGGAATTGCCAAACTGCAACAGGACAATAGTCCATCTCTAGCAGTATCTTGTGTCCAATAGTAGCCAATATCAGATACCTCTGAAAAAGGAGTTAATCTTCCATAAAGTACCGAACAGGGGTGAAATTAGTACCTGAGTCCACTTGGTTAGCAGTCTGCACTCAAAAGAATAAGGATTGGGGGTCCTGTGGTTGTATCCTCGCTGCTGTAATTACAGTCACTATTCTTTTTCTCAGAAATGTCTAACCATTTATTGCAGTGCTGGTGTAGCCATGTTGGTCCCAGAATATAGAGAGACAAGACAGGGGAGGTACTATCTTTTATTGGACCAATTTCTGTTGGTGGAAGGTACAGGCTTTTGAGCTACACAGACTTGGGGAAGGAAGTAGAGTGTCTGAGCTAAATACAAGTTGGGATAGACTGTAAAACAGAAGGGTAAGGCATGTTGGAGGTGGTTTCTTCCACCTATTCCACCTCAATCACGATGTGGTGTCATCTTTCACAACAAAGATGACACCACCCACAAGCACCACAATCCCAATGACAATCATAAGAAAAAAGAATCGTTGGACTGCACATGCTGCCAGAGGACAAAACCACACACTGGATCATTTCATTGATTACTTCAGGAAAAGAATTCACTGTGAAATCCTCAACAAACATTACATCCACCACCAAGAGGAAAGCAGATAGTCTCTGAAATCCATCGACCAAATAGTGATCAAACCTGAAGACAAAGGGGACACCACCATAGTCATTTATCGTGATGACTATGTCAACAAAGACAGCAGACAACTCTCTGACACCACCTACTGTAAAGAACTCATAGAAGACCTCCTAACACAATTCACCCAGGAATTTAAAGATACTGTCAAATCCTTCCCAAAGCAACTTGAAGAAAAACCTTGCGACCTCATCCCCCATGAACCCATTCAAGGGACTTTCTAGATGCTTCCCAAGATACACGAACAAGGGAACCTAAGCAGGCCCATCATATATAGCCAGGGCACTTTTACTGAAGGAATATCAGGACTAGAAACGTAAAATGTTAACCGGTAAGCATTAGTCATACCAGTTAACCCACCTTAACTGTTAACCCCTGGGCCGCCTGGCCACCTGGCCCCAGCCACCCTGTACCGGCTGGCCCACTGGCTCCAGCCACCCCAAGCCACCCACTGGCCCCAGCCATCCCGTGCTGCCCAGCCGGAGCAGCCCCGGCTGGAGTGGCCCCAGCAGCCCCAGCCCTTTAATCATTTAACCATTTAAACTAAATATTTTTAATTGTTTAAACTATTAACTTTTTAAATGATATTTACATCCCTAATCAGGACTCACAGAAAACATCCTTAAACCACTCACCACACAAAAGGGCAGCTCCCTCCAAGACACTACAGTCTTCCCCAAGAAACTCTAAAACTTTAACAACCTCCATCAAACACCATCCTTACCACCACGGATGTCACCTCCCTATACACCAACATCCTTCACCGCAATGGCGTGGCTGCCTGCCTCAAACACATACAAGATAATGCACAACCCTCAGAAATCCAAACTCATCTTCACCCATAACAACTTCACTTTTAACAGCAAACACGTTGTCCAAACCATGAGGACAGCCACGAATACTGGGATTGTTCCCCAATACGCCAACCTCTTCATGGGACACCTTGAGGAAGAATTTCTGGCAAAATGCACCACAAGGCCGACGATATACCTGAGATAAGCCATGATATTTTCCTCCTTGGACAGAAGAGGATCTGAGTTACCCAGGAAAGAATTTTCTGTAGTATCTGGCTGGTGAATCTTGCCCATATGCTCAGGGTTTAGCTGATCGCCATATTTGGGGTCGGGAAGGAATTTTCCTCCAGGGCAGATTGGAAGAGGCCCTGGAGGTTTTTCGCCTTCCTCTGTAGCATGGGGCACGGGTCACTTGCTGGAGGATTCTCTGCTCCTTGAAGTCTTTAAACCACGATTTGAGGACTTCAATAGCTCAGACATAGGTGAGAGGTTTTTCGCAGGAGTGGGTGGGTGAAATTCTGTGGCCTCCATTGTGCAGGAGGTCAGACTAGATGATCATAATGGTCCCTTCTAACCTTAGTATCTATGAATCTATGAAGACCTAAACTCCCTCACAGATTTCCACCACAACTTCAACAGCCATCACCCATCCATCAAACTTTCTCTACAACAGTAGTTTTCAAACTTTTTTCATTTGCAGATCCCTAAAAAATTACAAATGGAGGTCGGACCCCTTTGGAAATCTTAATACATAGCCTGCAGACCCCCAGGGGTCTGTGGACTACAGGTTGAAAACCACTGCTCTAGGACACTTCCATACCAGCATCAACTTCCTAGACTCCACAATTAGCTTAAACAATGGAACCCCACAAATGACTATATACAAGAAACCCACCTTACCTCCACAGAGCCAGCAACCACCTCAGACACACCACAAAAATCTGTTATCTACAGCCAGACACTCAGATACCACATAACTTGCTCCAAAGAGAAAGTCCGGACTATACACCTAAACACAAGTAAACCTGCCTTCACTAAACAAAGAAGAAGAAGTAGATTACACCACCAGAGAAGTAGATTACATCATGGCAAGGGCCACTCAAATATCCCATGAGAACCTGCTTCAATACAGAAAAAAAAAACCCGCTTTCAGCACACTCCTGGTTGTTACCTACCACCAGC